GATAACCAATTTTCATTGACTGCTTTTTTGGACTGATTTATCCTGCAGAGTTTCAAACACTCCAGCATGGGCATACTTCAGAAAAAGCCCTAACACTTTAATGTCACTCAGATGTTCTTAAGTTTTATAGCACTATATCACACTGTCATACTAATAATGTTCAAAAAAAAAGGTGTACCAGTGTATTGAATACGTATGAATAACTTGCTTTTCAGATCCCTTTAACCTGTTTATATTTGGCTGTTAAGTATTCTTATAAATGACAGTATGAGAACTAGTTTGGAGATAGGAAAGAAGAATCCTAATTTGCAGCCGTTCAACTTAGGAATGGCAAATGACATAATCATTACTGTATTTCTTTCTGTAGGACTAAAGTACACACTTTATTGTACTTTACCTTCTTTCTGTCAGGGCTTTTTTTTCTGCTTGTTGCATAGCAGGGAGTGCTAGTGATGCTGTTTCTTGGGAGACATCTGAAGTTATTAGTTTGGACATTAAACACCCTATTTAACTCTTTGTGAATAAAAACAGGTGTAAGGGAAGCTACATATGAATAAAATGTTCCTCTGGCAAAACAGAGTAAAATTTCTGTACTACAGACAATCTTTCTCAGCTAAATTGATTCAGTTTGTATTCACATCGTATTGCTCTGGATACTTACTAACAAATATTTTGAGACAATATTTGAATTGTTAGCATCAAGAAAATAAGTTCTATGGATAAACTGTGAGCCAAATTTTCTGAAGGTCAAGTTGGAACAATTCTGTTACTTGGTTGAGATTTTTTGTTTGAAATTATTTGCTTCAGAAAACTGTTCAAACACACTATTTTGTCAGGAGAAATTATATATATATGCTTTTTTTTTTTTTAAAGTAGACAATAGTTTATTTGACTTTGAAATATAGGATAATTTTATTTGTGTACATGCAGGCATACATGCATAGTGTGCTGCAAGCTGGAAAACAGATCTTTTTGATTAACTCAAATATTTTTATAACTTTCAGTTAATGAAAAAGTTAGGATTGCTATTATTTGAACATTTGTAAATGTTCAGTGCTCATTTAAGATGGGGAAATGCTTGTATACAAAGGCTTTATATGAAATGACATAATTAATTTGGTGCTTGGTGCTATGCCATATTTACTGGTTTGTGTTAGCAAATTATTTAATCAGTTGATCAATGATATTTCCTGTTTGTAACTAAGTATACATTTTAAGCAATTGACTCCTAAAATGGCACTAAGCTCTTTTATTATATGAAGAACTCATTTATAAGAAGCAGATCTGATGGGTACCTATAATGGTTCCAACATATTTCTTCCCATTTGTTTGGAGGTGGTTTCCAGGTATTATTTTGAACTTAAAATACTCTTTATTCAAAGAACAGGTCAGCATATATATGTATGTATGTGTATAAAAGATGTACTGAGCATATTAGTGTAACTTAAACCTCTATTTTTTTAAAAGTCCATGTTGATTTTTTCTGTATGTAACTCACATATCAAGCAGTTTTGGCAATTCTCTGTTAAAAAGCTAAGGAAATCTTATTGAATAGTCCATACAGAAGTGCCACCTAACTGCAGTGAAAGTGATTATTTAAATAAACAAGTGATTTTAATATTTTTTTTTTCCATATAAATGTAAAAAAAGACATTTCAAAGATCAGCTATGGCAAACTGTCAGGTAAGCTATTTTAGCCTCTACAAAGAATCCTCACAAAACTTTCAGCTTCTGAGAAACCCCTGAAAAATATATTCTCTAAATACAAACTAGTCCTTTGAAGCTTTACGCATATAGGCAGTGCTATCAAAGCTAAATAAAGCCTTCAGATGATGCAGGTTGTGTGGGGCCAAGAAGGTTTTGAGATGCTCAGAAATACAAATACATATGGTAAGGTGGAAAACAGCCTAAACCCAGAGGCTGTCTCATGTTCATCTAGGATCTGTGCCACTGATGATCAGCTGGCTCAAAAGCTGGATAAGTCCTTTGGTATTTACATTGCACTGTGATGGATTTTAGCTTTATAACGTGGGGCACAAACCAACGAGCACATTGACTCATGTGCCTGAAATCTGAGACTGTGGTATAACTTTGTTACAATTGAAGATTAGATGTTACAAAATAGTCCTTCAGGGGCAGACAGCTGAGTTTTCATTGCTTTGGAAAATTATGTGCAAGTGATGGGTACTTAAGAACTAAGGGAATAAAGCAGACTCTAAAATTACAAAGTTTGAGAAGTTCACCAATAATCCTGTAGGAAACTGGGAGCTGAATTAGGATTTTTGAGATGTAAGTTTTCAAAGTCTAGGGAACAACCAGAATAAGACAATAATCTCTCTTCTCCTTTCCTCTGTTCCAGGGAGTTTTGTTTTTCCCTTCCTTTACAGTATAATAGTCCCATTTTGTCACTGTGGTCGGTAGCACTCCCTTTTTCTTACACACCATGGGATTTGGATCTATTATTTATCCATGGCAGATAACAATCTAGACCATGTCTGTACAAGAAAACATTGAACTGGTTTCAAAAGAATGACTATAAGCCTGGTGCACTTAAAACAGTTTGCCACCTCTTTAAGTTGTTTTTGTAATTTAGAAAATTCAGCTTGACTGATTGAAGAGATGATAAAGTCAATTTAAGTCACCCGGTTTAGGGAGATGCACTTGCAACTTTTCCCTCTAGACAAGGTCTTGCCTAGTAAGTAGGAGGATCAATGGCAGGTTAATGCAACTGGCAGTGTAAGAAGCTGGAAAACCCCCCTAAACTTGCTATTAGTTGTGTGGGCTATTTTGTAAACTATTTAGGCTGCGATTTTTTTTTCTTCATAGGTATCTCTAAAATGACAGACAACACTCCACTAAAATTAATCATAATAATGTAGATAATGATCTACTAAATTGTTTTCAATATAGTTATTCCAATTTTACATGAGTGTAGTACTGAATTGAATTTACTCCACTAAGGCAAATACTGTAGCAGTGGGCCGCTTGAGCCTTGAGCTGTATGTGTTCATTCTGGTGGGAACCACATGCTTGTAGCTAAAAGAGAGATAAAAACTAGATACAGAAAGAGGAGAATGTATTGCTTTGTTTAAAACTACAGTTCACATAGTACTTGTTTTTCTTGGCATATGTTATTTACTATATAATCTAATAGATAAATAAAGGCCCTGATGGTTTGAAGCATGCTGAGTGATGATCTGAACCAGCAAGTATGCCTGGATGGAAAACTCTTACTTAGAGAAACAGAGCTTTTATTCATCAGTGTAGGATCAGCTTATTTGCTGTGGCTGAAGGGTTTGATTCTTTTGTCTTACATGATATAAGGAAAATTAGATCATGCAAAGCAACAGAGTTATTCATTGGCCATCTATTGATTTTTTATGCATGTTGGCCCACTGACATTTCTAACACAATACATTAAAACAACAGGGAGGAAGAACATTTTTTTTTCCTCAGCTCTTTGCTCTGTGTTTCCTGTCCAGCAGTCACTGAAGAAGGAGGGATGGCTGTAGAGAAGGTGCAGTGCCACAGCTGTACCAAGAATTTATTCTGTTGATACCAGGAGATAGAGCAGCAAGTACAGTATTGGTTTCTGCTGTGTTGCTGAATAAACTCAAGGAAGTGGTTTGCAGTGAAGAATACATATCCTCCTGAAACTTATTTCCCTTCACAGCATGTGCCTCCGCTTTCAGCAAGAGTGAGTTATGCTATATTAGCAATAAAGGGGAAAAATGAGCCAGATTTTTAAAGGTGCTTAGGCAGCTGAAGAGGTAGGTAGATGACTAATAGGATTTAGGATCCAGGCTTGGGAAACCTCTAAAAGTGTAATATAAAATTCTAATAGAAAACTAGCTCCTCTAGTTTGCCTGAACAGTGATAACCTACCATCATGCCATTATTTTAATTAGTAAATTCTTGTGTCCTGGAAAGACTAATTTGACAGGGTTTTCTGATAATTCCAAAGGTATTTCTGGTTTCCACACAAATTGTCCAATTGTCCTATATTCTAGAGACAAAAAATTGCTATAAGAATATGGACCTTTCCTGAAGATAGCATTTTTTTTTTCCTGCAGGAGTTGCTTTAGGAGTGACATACATCTCTTCAAAGGCAAATTATGCTTTATGCCACAAATTAATGAGCTGCTTACTAGTTGGAAAGTCAGTACAGATAATGTTCAAAGTAATCTAGTGCCTTATGGGAACTGAAATCTAAGACGGGATCCCTCTGTCAGTGTCACAGATCGGCTATTTCCATCTCTTCCTGCTATGGCTATTCCGGCACCGTTAGAGCCCAGCACGGGGTGCAGCCCCGGCGCTGGGAAGGGCAGGGAAGCTGGGGAGGTCTGGAGAGCTGAGGGAGCCGGGGTTGTTTAGCCTGGAGAAGGCTTGGAGTAAGGATGGGGGCAGCTCCAAGGAGGGTTTAGAAAGGTGGAGGTCGGCCTCTTCTCTCAGGTAGCTGCCGACAAACGCACTTCAATCTGGGCCAGGGGAGATTTAGGTTGGACATTAGGAGGAATTTCTTAGCAGAAAGGGATTAAACGTAAGAATGAACTGCCCAAGGAAGTGGTGGAGTCACTGTCCCGAGGGGTGTTAAGGAAACACTGAACGTGGAAGCACGGAAACACTTCATGCCATGGTCTAGTTGGCGTGGTGGTGCTCGGTCCTAGGTTGCACTGGATGGTCTAAAAGGCCTTTCCCAACCGAGGTGGTTATGTCAGGCGCGGCAGTCGCTGTGTGCCGCTTCGGGCTCGCGTTCCAGGCAGGATGTGGCAGCGGGGCGGCCGCCGGACAAGGATGACAGTGCCCTGGTCACGCGGGCCGCGGCAGCCTCCCGCTGTCAGCCGCCCGCGGGGCCGCCCGGGGCCGTGGCTGCGCCCTCGGCCCGGCCGCAGCAGGCGGCGGGAGCTCCGCGCTGCCGCGCCCCCGGCCCGGCCGCGCTTCCGCCCGCGTCAGCTGATCTGCCCGGCAGCGGCCCGGCCCGCGGAACCTCGGCGCGGGCGCCCGCAGCATGGCAGGGGCCGTGGTGAGCGGAGCACAGGTAGGTGTCCGCGGCCCCACCTGCGCGCCAGCTCGCCCCGGCCGGCGCGTCCCCGCCCCCGGCACGGGGAGCGGCTGCTCCAGCTCCGCGCCGGCGGCCGCCTCTCTGCCGGTGCCGCTCCGGGTCGGGGCGGCCGGCGGACGCGCACGGGGCCGGGTTTAGTTTCCAGCCGCACCGCGCCACGGGACGCCGCGCGGGTATCGCCTCTGTCACCGCAGCGCTGTCCCGAGGCCGCCGAAGGGAAAGGGCTGAGGAGCGGTCCGGGGCTGCGCTCCGAGTCCCGCGGCTCGGGGGTGCGCTCCCAAAGCCGGCGGGTAGCGGAGCGCGGGGCCGGGGCAGGGCTGCGCTGCCCGGTGCCGCTGCCCGGTGCCGCTGCCCGGCGCCGCTGCCCGGTGCCGCTGCCCGGCGCCGCTGCCCGGTGCCGCTGCCCGGTGCCGCT